GAGACAGTCGACAGAACTAGAGGAGGACTCCCCAGAGGTCCCAGAGATCACCCTGCCTGCGCCCGAGAACGCACTCCGGGGCACCCAGCCCCCGTCCACAGAAGAGAGACCCCCAGAGCCAGAACCTGCGGCCGCGGAAGCCCCGGCGCCACCCTTAACGCCCGCTCCGGAGGTCAGGCCCCCCGAGGCCCCAGCACAGGGACCCAGACGCTCAGCAAGGGTACGACAGCCCCCAGCGTACCTGAAAGACTATGTTTCATAGGGGAGGGTCCGGACTATGGGGGGAGGGGTGTAGTGTCCGCTGACCACCACCGGAGGTCAGCACACATGCCCAAGCTTCGGTCTGTGACAACAATGGGGACTAGGATCCTAGTCCCTCCACTGGGGAACCAATGGGATCCGTGGCGGGAGATTTGAACCCACCAATGGTGACCAGGGGTGGTCCCCAGGTGTGTATATAGTTGGCCCGCCGGCCGTTTATCCTTTGTCTTGTTGTGTGCTAATAAAGCGTGCTATGCACCACGTCGTTGTCTGTCGTTCATCCATGCGGCTACCCACTACATAACACCCACCCTTCACTAGGAGTCTCAGAGTGGCTTACAAACTCCTTTCCCTTCCCCTCCCCACAACAGACAACCTGTGAGGTAGGTGGGGCTGAGAGAGCTCATTCCAGAACTGTCCTTGAGAGAACAGCTCTGACAAAACTATGGCTTGCCCAAGGTCATCCAGCAGCTGCAAGTGGAGGAGTGGGGAATCAAACTCGGTTCTCCCAGATTAGAGTCCACACATTTAACCACTACACCAAACTGGTTCTATACAAGTCAGAATACAATTTATTTTTGTAGGAAGTCCTTCTTTGAAGCTTCATGACACCAGTGTACCCATGTGAGGATCAAATATGTTGTCTCCCATTGGATATTGAGCCTCTGTGGGGTCTGTGGAGCAAGTTTGCCTTCCTTTGTAGAAAATTCTCTTCAAGTGCTTTTGAAGATCAATGATGGGGTCTGTGGCAAAACGGTCCTGCTCTGACCTGCCCTATTCCAGCAGGCCTTCCGAGGTGTCTGGGCCCCAGTGGCTGCCCGAGGTCTCCACGTGGCAATGCCACCCACCTGGTTTCCCCAATACCTGGAGGAGCTTTTCTCTCCCTCTCTTGGTTTAACCGCTGCCACCACCTGACCTTTGTAGGAATTGCCCGCTGAGAGAGCCAGGGCTCCCAGCTCCCTGTTGAGGCCTTGCCTCTCTGCCTCCCGCTCCCAGTGCCTGGTTACCACAGGGACAGCTTCCTGCCTTGTGCACCACTGAAGGAGTAGCCACTCGCCAACTGATTGCCCCCCCCAGCATACCTTTTTAAAAATAGCGTGCCCGGAATAACGGAGGGGTCTAATCTGGTACTGAGAACCGCTACCAGCATTAAAAGTTATAAAACATTTATTAAAAGCAAAATGTCCACATGCACATGCTCAGTACAGCAACAGATTGAGCAAGGGAGTCCAAAGAAAAGGGTAAAATGCAAATTCTCTATTCCTCCCTCTGTACATGCCCTAGTGGATCTTAGTACCCTGTTTCCCCGAAAATAAGACCTACCCCAAAAATAAGCCCTAGCAGGATTTCTATGCATTTGTGGTATAAGCCCTAGTGTGTCTTCTTGAGAAAAAATAAATATAAGACAGTGTCTTATTTTCGGGAAAACACGGTATAAGGCAGGCTGTTTAGCTTAAAAGGTTACAGTTGTTCTACAGAGGCCCACTACCTTGAATCCTCTGCTCAGGTGCGCAGGCCGGCACGTGGCAATGGCCGCCTCCTACAGACTTCAGGTAAGACTTCTGTCTGCCTCAATGGAATCAGCACAAAAAAGAGCTGCCTCCTTGCTCCCAGGAATTGTTATATATTTTCTTGAATTTATGCATACTTTCTTCTTTCATTTTTTTTAACTCTGTTTAGTTGCTGGATTATGATTCCCCCTTTTTATTTGGAAATACAAAACAAAAACATAAACAACAACATGCTGAAGGTCCTAGTTTCGACCCCAGAATTTCCAGTTAAAAGAATCTCAGGGCTGGGAAAGGCAAGATGAACCAATAGTCTGATTTATTACAAGGTAGCTAGCTTCACATGTTACACCATCACTGTTAATCGACTTCTGTGCAAATCACATTATCTGGGTAAAGCTTGTACCTATGTGACAGGTAGAGCTAAGAAACATTCTTCAGTGACAAAGCAGTCACCGAGAACAGGGCTCTGAACCCGCCCACAGTAGCCCTGGTGGGAACTGGGAGGTAATAGGGAGATGTCACGGGGAAGTCATAGGGAGAGAAGGTTAGGCTCTGAGGGTTAGTTTGAGAGAAGTGTTAATATTTATCTCGAGTTGTATGTTCTTTTTAAATAAACTTCTTGTTCACTTTTGAAACCATCTTGAGTCAGTCATTTGCCCGGTGGGGGTGCAGGTGAGGGATCCCCCAGATTTTGCGGGTTCCTGCACACCGGCGGCCAACTGGCTGGCAGGAGGGAATCCCCCCCAAATAACAACATCACCTGCGACGTGCCTATGTCACCTGGTGCCGATTTTACCATAGAGTTTTGTCCAAAATCCAGAGCGTCGCTGCCGATGTGCTGGCATCCCTTCCAAGTGATGCAGGAACGTCACGCGCAATGTCACTGTTTCCCAAAACATCCCCCATCCCCCTGCCGGCAGGCAAAAGGGACCTGGCAACCCTAGTCTGTTTTACCTCAGTGGGCTTGGGTGGGTTTGTTCTCAGGTCCAGATCCTATCCCCACAAACCCAGTTTAGATTTTCCTTTTTAATTTCTCACTGGGAACCCTGGTGTAGTGGGGCAGGTGGGAAACTGAAATTGTGTGATGGGATGTGAGATGGTAGCTAACTCCACAGGGTACCTGTCACTTTGTGTTTAATACCACAGATTAGATTTCTTTGCCACAATTCTATTTTAGCCCCAGCTCAGATATTAAGGTAGCTCTCCATAATGCTTCAATATGTGGTATTGGAGCGTCCGGGGCTGGCAGCAGGGCAGCGGGAGGAGAACACCCTGAGCACCATGGTCCAGCCAACTGCCTCCCTGGCCCACCTGTGCTCAGCCCCTGGGCAAGCTCACCAGCTCCGACAACTCGAACAAGGGCAATGGGAGACAGCGACAGCAGTGACGAGGCAGCAAGGGTCGGCGAAGGCAACGCAGTCGGCAGCAGGGCCGGGCACAGAGTTTGCCTGGCAAGGGCAGATGACGAGGGGGGAGGAGTCAGCCTACGCCGAGGCTCCCAAGATCGAGAAGTAGGAGGGGAGGCTGGAAAAGGGGAGGTGGATCCAGAGAACCACAAGCGGTGTCACCCCAGCCTCTGTTGGCCAGGATGCTGCCAGGGATGGAGGACACTGGAGGCAGGAAGGCGGAGCTCTCTCGTACCTGAGAGGCAGCCTCAGCCAATGGAAAAGGCCTGAGGGGATGGACAGGGGCAGCCTTCACTGCGGTAGGGTGGGTCAGGCCCCCAAGAGGGAAGGGGGGGGATAAAAGGAGGCCCTAGAGAAGAGTCTGTGGAGGAAAAACACTGGACGCCAACATTGTGGCAGGTGTTCCGGCTGGGGGGAGGAGGAGCCGGGCGAGTTAACCCCCTTCCCTCCTGTTCTGAGGCCTCTGAGGGGAGTGACCCAGTGTCAGGAGCACGAAGGCTGAAGGAGGCCTCCCCCCTGGGGGGCAGACGGGGCATGACATGGAGCAATGATGGAAAGTCTGTACAGAGTCTGGAGGAGAATCAGGTCATCTTTTCTGTTAAGGTGCAACATTGACGCAGCAGCTATCAAATGGTCATCCCAAGTAGTCCAAGTTGCGAGCCACGGAGCCTTTTGAAATATGATTATTAACAACAGCAACAGTCATCGGTAGACATGCAACAGGTCCCTGGTATTGTCCCTCAGGATTTCCAACACTGGAATGGACCCCAACCGGCAACTGAAGGGCCAGATACTAGTCAATAGTGGGCCGAGCCCAATCACTTCATTATTTTCTTCAGAGCTGACATTGGGCTAAACCATCAGAGGTTATCAGTGCAATCCTATGCAGATTTTTATTTAATTTACTTCATTCATAATCCACCATTCTTCCCAGTAGGGGCCCAGAGTGTTTTACATCATTCCCTTCTCCTGCGTTTTATCCTCCCAGCTGCCCTGTGAAGTAGGTAAGGCTGAGAGTGGATGGGCCCAAGGTCACCAGACAAGCTTCCGTGGCAGAGTGAGGATTCAAGCCCGGGACTCCCAGATTTCAGTCTGATAATGTAACCACTATAACACACTAGTATTTATATGGACTTTCTGCTGTAGGCATGTGAAAAAGATGACGGCTCTGACTGCTCAGCGATTGGGATCAACTTCATTTGCATGGTTTCTCTTCTGTGTGGCCCCTATGGTGAACGGCAAGGCATGTGCCACTGCCGAAGCTCTTGCCACACTTGGAAGCATTTACTATCCGTTCTCCCCTGTGTGATCGCTTGGGTGAGAAGTGAGATTTCTTCTGTCAGTGAAGCTCTTTCCACTCTCCAAGCATTGATGATTTCTCCCAATTGTCTCCTTCCACAACAATTTATTTTGTCAGTCTGACTGAACTTCTTTCCACACTCAGTGCATTTATACGGGGTCTCCCCTGTGGTGATAAAGGCAGCTGGTGGTCTAGAATTCGTTCCACACTCAGTGCGTTTTTATGGGTCTCCCCCATGATGGTATGGAAGGCTGGTGCTCTGAAATTCTTTCTCCACTCCATGCATTTGTACGGTTTCTCCCTTGTGAGAATCCTTTGATGGTTAGGTATCTGAAACAATCTGAACCTCATTCCACACTTCAGACATGTTACTCGAAGAGTAAATTTTCTCCAAATAGTTACTCCAATTTAATCAAATTAAAATTGATGGCTTTAGGCCAGAGTAACTGCACAGGACTGCACTGTCATTCATTCAAGGCAAAGCAGAGCCCGATGAATAAGTCGGAAAGGAAAACTAAAATAGAGCGGGGAGGAGACAGGAAACGGTTGCATGATTGCTAGGCATTTCCCGCAACTGACATCCCGTTTTTTTTTTTTAATTTATAACATCGTATTATTGTGATGATCAGTATTCATCATCATCCAATTTGGGATGTTTTAAAGGAGGGGGGCGACTTTCTACTGAGTAAGTGCAGACGGGAAGAATATACGCCAAACAGGAGATCTTGCTACGGCCCAAGTCAATAGCAACAGCAGGGATTGGGCGATTAGTAAATCCAATAAATAAAAAAACAAAAAAAACATCCAGATCAACAAGGAAGATTAATTCGGATTCGCTTTTCTCTGTCCAGCCGGGAGAGCAGAAACTACACAGGGTACCGAAATTTCTTCTGCGCATGCTCTGCACCCCCTCGCTGTTTAGATTTCAAACACTCTCCGCCCCTTCCCGAAGAGGCGCATGCGTATCACAGCCCAGACTTCTGTCAATAGGCCGAGGAAGGATGGCACCATTAAAAAAAAAAGAAATTGCTCTGCACACGCGCGAACAACACGTTGCGTCATCACCCGACTCGCTCCCTCCCCCGCCCACTTTCGCCCTACTTCCAGCTCTGCGCAGGCGCCCGCGAAGCGGCTCTTCGGTCTAGTGCTGCGGTACAACCAACCAGAAGAGCCCTCGGCTATCCCAGGCTGCAACGCGGCGAAGGTCCCCCCCCCCCTCCCGCTTCTTCCTTCAGCCACCGGCAGCCATGTTGTGCTAGTTTTGCGCTCGGCGGTGGCGCCAACCGAAAACTCTCCTCCACCGTCGCTCCCAGCCAGGAGGGTTCTTCGCTGCGGGACCTCGTAAGCCCGGGCGCCATGGCAGCCGCTTTGGGAGGCGGCGCAGGTACGAGGCCGGGCGGCCGGAGGACGGGCCGGAGAGGGAGGCCGCGGGTGGGCCGCAGGAGGGGGAGGGGGGCTTATTTGCGTGTGTGCGCGTGTGGGGGGGGGTCGCCTGGGGGCGTGGCAGGTTTAAGCTCCTAAGGGGCGTACGGGGGGGGGGGGGGGGGGCGGTAGGCGGGATTCGGAGAGAGAGGGAAATGGGTGGGGGTGAATGATGGCTATAAAACCCGGGATCATCTGTCTTTTGGTGTGCGGGATCTCTTTGCAAGAGAGGGAGGCAGTATATGAGGCCGGTTTTTTTTTTTGCAGGTCTCGGGACTCGCGTTTATGTGAGCTTCTCAGGTGCTGTTAAGAGTGGCTGATTGCACAGATTGTATAATGGGGGGAAGGGAAGATCTCCCAGAAGCCTGGGTGAACATTTTGAGGGATTGGAAGGACTAGTTGTATTTTGGGTGGGTGGGGCGCTGTGGACGTCCAGAAAGCGGGAGCTGTCAAGGCGAGTTGTCTAGGTGCAGGATGTCGGAAGAGGAGGAAACCAGATACGATGTTTACGTGGGTAGGAAGCCGGGTGCCGTGTGACCGTCTAGAGGAACAGGAGTTTAAGAGGAGCCTTGCAGCATCTTGAAGATGTAGGCAGCTTTATTCCAGTGCAGGAGTCACCTCATGAAATGGACTGTAGTTTGCAAGTGCTCAGTTGACGGTGCTGTAAGGCCAACGCTTATTATTGCAGCAGTGGACTAGCACAGGTATCTCTCTGGAGAAAGGCAAATAGGAGAGAGAAGCATCCAGCTTGCTGTTTCATGTTTACAGTTGGCGGTTGCTTTAAAGAAGGCATTGAACACAAAACCAGTTTATTTATAAAACATGGCTGTTTCTTGTTTTCTTCCTGGCAATGTGAGAGGGGTTCAAGTCCCTAACATGGGGCCTATGTAAGAGCTGATAGAAAATTTGGTGGTGCTTTATTTACATTGTTTGGACCCTACTTTTCTCTCCAATAAGGATACAAATTAGCATCCATTGTTCTCCTCCATTTTATCCTTACAACAGCCCTGTGAGGTACATTAGGCAGAGTGCGCGTGCTGCAAGGTCACCCAGCAAACATCCCTGTCAGAACAGAGATTTGCATCCAGGTCCCCCAGATCTTAGTTTGACAGCAGTGCCTCTTATTGGCTTAGCAGAAACATGAAATAAGACCTCATTGGATTTATCATGCACTTAGGATTTCACAAGTTTTTTTCTTGACGATTTTCTAAACCTTACAAGTTTTGCTGCTGCCCTTGTTACTTTAGGTGATCTTCCTGTAAATTTTTTTCATGGAAAAGGAGTGCTCAAAGCATCCTTCAGTGATGTAGCTCGTCTTTCCAGATTTGTCATGTAAACTTCATCTCTTTACAGACTGAGTTGATTTTTTAAAAGCTATAAATAAAATGCTTTATTTGAATATTTAATAATTTTATGGTACTTATTATAAGGGTATTATAATGCCTGCAAAGTGCTGTAGGCATCCGTCAGCTGCCAGGAAGCTCCTAACTCAATTGGTTTATTTCAAGGCTTATTTTGTGACCTTGAAGTACGTTGGTTTCTTGGTTTGGAATGCACTGTTTGGTGTGCTGCTCCCACATAGCATTGTTGGCTTGTTTAGCTGTAGCTCGCACTCACTGTTCTGTCTTTGTCATCTCTTCCCAGTTCAGGGTGCTTCATTTAAAAATAAAATCCTGGACGTATTCTCTACAGCTGCTTATGCCTTGCTGTGTTGCTTGAAAATCTACCATATAAAGGCTTGCCAGGCTTTTGTGTGAACCCATTCATTTGATGTGTGTTAGCTGGGCCAAATCTAGTTTCATTAATTTCAGTTAACAGTTCCCTGGTGAGCTTCTTGGGTATTAAGCAAACCTGGTAGCTGTAGAGATGGCAAATCCTGGAAGCATTTTGGGGAAAACCAGTTGAGAGCCAGTTTGGTGTAGTGGTTAGGAGCGCGGACTCGAATCTGGGAGAACCGGGTTTGATTCCCCACCCCTCCGCATGCAGCTGCTGGTGTGACCTTGGGTCAGTTGCACGTTTTTTCTGAGCTGTTCTCTCAAGGGCAGTTCTCTCAGAGCTCTCTCAGCCCCACCTGCCTCACAAGGTGTCTGTTGTGGGGAGGGAAAGGGATTGTAAGCCACTCTGCGACTTCTTTGGGTAGTGAAGGGCGGGGTACAAATCCAATCTCTTCTTCTCTTTTTCTTTTGTTGAGGATCTTTCCCCCCCGGTTTTTCCAGAGGAAATTTTTTGGGAGCACTGGGGGGGGGGGAACTTATTTGTATTGTTTCTCTTGGAGTGAATAGTGGTGTGGGGGTCTAGAAGAACCTGGAAAAAGAAGAAAACCTCTGTTTCTAAGGTCTTTGAATTGGGGGAACACTGACATTCATGAGATATTTTCTTATTTAGAATGAGTAAAATGCTTCCTAGGGCAAGGTTTTTCGCACTCTAAACTGTATAGCATTGAGGACTTTTTCCATTGGGAAAATGGGAAAATTGGGGGGAGCACTAAAAGCTCCTACTTTTTTCCTTTAGGAATAAATGAAATGTTTTAAGAGAAAGTTTTACTCAATGTGTAGTGTCCTCAGTATTGATAGTCAAAAAGCAAAATGTACAAGATTGGGGAGTGAATCCTCACTGCTTAGATAACAAGCCACCCCCTGCTCTTCTTGAGACACTGAGTCTCCATCCCATCCAGGTGTTAATCAAGAAGTCATCCCTGCAAAGTAGGACACTTGTAAGTTGTAGCCAAAATAGGCCAAGGTTTAGACTGAAGTCACAAACCCCAGACAAACCCACAGATTGTGATTAATAAGGTTTATTAAAAGAAATGTGCAGAAGAAAATGTACAAATATAAGCGCAGTGCAAAACAGGAAAGAAAACAATAAAGCTAAATAACTATTCTAGGATTCTTAATCAAGCTTTAGTCCTCTGATCCAGATATTTCCTGCTCAGACTGAAGATAAAGAGTCCAGAGTTCATAATCCAAGAAGCAGGTATTCCAGCCATGCAAGGCCCAACCTACCATCACAAGGATGACCCAAAGGGGGTCTGGAACAGAATGAATGGGCTTGCTTTAAGCCAGACTGCCTGCAGCTGACCTGGTTCTATTTAGCCAGTCAGGTGTGTTCTAAGACACATAACCACTTATTTCTGCAGCTAGTACATGCCTACAATCATGCAATTTTCCCAGTGGTTCTTTGGGCTAATGTGATGGAATGTGAGTGCAAAACCCCCTCTGAGTCTTTGGCCTTGAAGCTCCCAGGCCCATCTCACTTGCACCTGTGTCTGACTCCTCTCATCCCGTAGATCTCTCTGGAAACGGCAAGTCAGTGTGACATTAAATTTTCCGGAGAGGGGCCTTCAGGAACTTAACTAGGCCCAAAATCCTGAATCCAAGTTTGCAAGGCCAAGAAATGGTTTACAAAGGCCAGTTTCTTGACATATAGTATGAAAAAATTTACATAAAACAATCTGCAGCATTGGATGACACAGTAATAAACCAACAAAGTTTAATTCTGGATTCCAGCCCCCATAGGAGACCCCCCCCCCCAGCTTCAAAATTTTGAGACACCTTATCTCTCTACGTAGTTGACAGAAAAGTTCTACATTTGAATTAATGGAAACCTATACTCTAGTGATTGATACAATATAACCTAGGTCGGAGGTGTCGAACTCATTTGTTATGAGGGCCAGATCTGACATAAATGTCACTTCGTTGGGCCAGGGCATGCATGATATAAAATGTATCATGAGGTACCAGAGATATAAACTTTATAAAAATGATTTTAGATGCCAGATGGCAATAGCGGGCAAAATTGGATTAGTCGTGATATGCAGAGGGGAAGTAGGTGTGGATATCAGCATTGGTAATGAGACAGGAAACCTAGGTCTCAATTCCATCCAAGGAGGATTCAGTCCAGGAGGATGCAGAGAGTAAATGGACATAGTCTGACATTAGAAACCACAACATTCAGTTGCTGACCTAAGAGTGGCAGTGCTCTTACAAAGGAATTAGATTAGAGATTAGAAAGGGAGATTAGAAAGAGAGGCTGCTGAATTGCAATTGATAGTGAAGCTCAAGACAGTGCAGCCCTTTGAACAGTGTGTGCTATTATGATTTGGCATCTGAAATCATTCTACTCTCCAAGATGTAAGGACCAATCCAAATGTTCTAATTCCCAATCAGAGTCTTTTTGAAAGAAAATAAATCCAGATAGGAACAGAATAAGCCAAAATAATTTCCTCAATGTGCATTGTGCTTGTCAGAAGAATCCTCCCTCCCTCCTTTCAAAGAAGTGTGCTTGCACACAAAACCTTATACCTGGAATAAAACATCGCTGGTCTTAAAGCTGGGATTCAATTTTGTTTCCCCCCCCCCCCCCACAGAAAGCAGAAGCCTTGTGTGCGGAGGGGGGGAGGCAGACAGGCAGGCTTGTCTTTGTATCTCACAGCCACGAGGTTCTCTCTATCTCTTTGTGTGGGAGGGGGGAGGGAGGCAGGAAGTGAAGAGTGACTAAGATAGCTGGGGGAAAAGCAAGCTATGGTGCAGCTGCAGGAGCAGCCCTGGGAAAGGAAGCAGGAGAAGGAAGTTGCTTGGGGGCTCGTTTTGAGCCCTGTGAGGGCCGGTTCCAGCCTGCAGGCCACACGTTTGACACCCCTGACCTAGATGCTTCTGTGCCATGATACTTTGTTGACAAAGGAATTTACTTAATTTAATTGGAAAATCCCTTTGCCCCTCTTATCTCATACATGCTTATGAGGAGTTGATAAATGATAGCAAAATAAAATGCCTCTTGTGACATCATTCCTCAGTTTGACAAGTTCAAGTTATGCCAAATCCTTGTTGATGCTCCTTATGTTTGTGTCGCTTTTAAAACTTTTCCTGTCTTCCTTGGTTTGCAAAGTTAAGTTGTTTTGACATAAGCCTGTCCCCAAAGCCCCCAGCTTAGTGGGGCAAATCACATGGGCTTAATTTTGTTTTG